CATGCAATAACTAAGACAACCACTTGTAAAGGTTTCCTGTTGGGGAGGCCTGAGCCTTAGGTCCAGATGCACTGTTAGAGGGAGAGCTTGAACCATCAGTCTGAAAGGAGCGCCAGAGGAGGGCCTGAGCCTCAGGATCAAGCAGCTTCAATGTGAGGCCTGACCCCTAGCCTGGAAGAAGTAGCAGAGGATGGCCTGAGCTGCATCAGAGTTAGGCCCAAATCAGCAGCCCAGGAGCACCCTCAGAGGGAGCCAAGAGCCTCAGGCCCAGGAGCAAGGAGCAACCACTGGGTGAGACAACAGTAGTGGTTTCCAGCAGTAGCTTCCAGAAACTATCGAAAGAAGTTCCTCTGGGAAAGAGCACCTGTGTCCCAGCTAGCATCCACTGCCACATCTCGGTTGGAGACCCCCAGCTACTACATCGACCACTGGACCCTCAGCCCCACCTACACCTCCAATAGGAGGAGCGTTCACTGGAGCTGTAGCCCCACCTGCACCTGAGCATTGGGCCCACTTCTACCACCAGGATGAGCGTTCACCAAAAGCACTGCTCAACTTGTACCTGAAGGAGCTGTCAACAGAGCCACAGCCCTCAAATATACCAATTGGAGAAAGAGAGACTCCCTGAAGCACAAGCTCCACCTATACTGATCAGAGGAAGAGATGCATAGACAACAAGGTAAGAACAGACTCAACAATCTAAAGAGCAATATGGCATCACTAGGCACTAGTGTGCTACAATAGCAAGACCTGAACATCCCAACACAGATGAAGCAGAAGAAAACCACCTAAAAAAATAACTTTATGAGGATGATTGAGGACCTTAAAGAGGAAATGAAAAATTCCCTTAAAGAAATGGAGGAAGCCAGGCATTGGTGGAGCACGCCTTTAGTCCCAGCACTCAGGAGGCAGAGGCAGGCGGATCTCTGTGAGTTTAAGGTCAGCCTGGTCTATAGAGCTAGTTCCAGACTCCAAAGCCACAGAGAAATCCTGTCTCAAAAAATAAAAAAACAAACAAACAGAAAAAAAGGGAAGAAATAAAGGAAAAAACAAACAAAAAAATTGGAAGAAATAGAAGAATCCCTTAAAGAAAACCAAAAGCAAAAGCAATCAGACAGACAAGTGAAGGAAATGATTCAAGACATGAAGTCTGAAATAGAGGCAATAAAGAAAACACAAACTGAGGGATTTATGGAAATGGAAAATCCGGGTAAACGATCAGGAACTACAAATACGTAACGGAATACAATTTCAAGAATTGTAGATAGAACAGAGGAGATAAATTCACTGGTCAAAGAAAACTTTAAATCCAACAAATCCTTAAAACAAAATATGTGGGAAATCTGGAACACCATGAAAAGACGGAACCTAAGAATAATAGGGACTGAAGAAATCCAACAGAAAATATATTCAGCAAAATCACAGAAGAAAACTTTCCCAACCTAAAGAAGGGCATGCCTATGAAAATACAAGAGGCTTATAGAGCACACCAAATAGACTGGACCAATAAATAAATAAATAATAAAAAGCTAAAAAGTCCCCTTACCACATAATAATCAAAACAATAAGCATACAGAATAAAGAAAGAATATTAAGAGCTGCAAAGGATATAGGACAGATAACATATAAATGTAGACCTATCAGAATTACACCTGACTTTTCAACAGAAACAGTAAAAGCTAGAAGGTCCTGGACAGATGTTATTCATATACTAAGGGACCATGGATTCTGGCCCAGACTACTTTACCCAGCAAAGCTTTCAATAACCACAGATGGAGAAAACAACAAATTCCATGATAAAACCAAACTTAACAATACCTATCCACAAATCCAGCCCTACAGAAAGTACTAGAAGGAAATGCCAACCCAAGGAAGTCAGCTATATCCACAAGAACACAGGAAACATATAAGGTTACAACAGCAAATCCCAAAGAAGGGATACTATGAACATACAATGCCATCACCAAAACCAAAAATAACAGGAACTAGCAATCACTGGTCATTAATATCCATTAATATAAATGGTTTCAATGCACCTATAAAAAGACACTGACTAATATATTGGATATGAAAACAGAATCCATCCTTCTGCTACATATAAAAGACACACCTCAAACTCACAGACAGACATTACCTCAGAATAAAGGGTTGGGGAAAAAATTTTCCAATCAAATGGACCTAAGAAACAAGCTGGTGTAGCTATTCTAATATTTAACAAAATAGAATTCAAACTAAAATCAATAAAAAAGATAAAGAAGAGCATTTCATATTCATTACAGGAAAAAGCCATCAAGAGGAAATCTCAATTCTGAACATCTATGCCCCAAACACAAGGTCTCCTGAATTTGTAAAAGAAACATTACTAAAGTGTAAATCACAAATCAAGCCCCACAGACTAATAGTGAGAGACTTCAACACCCCACTCTCGCCACTGGACAGGTCTGCCAGACAGAGAAATAAGGGAACAAACAGATGCTATGACTCAAATGGACTTAGTAGACATCTATAGAACATTCTACCCAAACACAAAAAGAATATACTTTCTTTTCAGCACCTCATGGAACCTTCTCAAAAATAGACTACATACTCAGTAACAAAGCAAACCTCAACAGATACAAAAAAAGAAAAAGAAAAAAAAAAAAAAGAAAGAAAGAAAGAAAGAAAGAAAAGAAAAGAAAAAAATGGAATAACCCCCTGTATCCTATTGGATCATCACAGCTTAAAGTTAGAATTTCAACAGCAATTAATTTCAGAAAACCCACAAACACATGGAAATGAAACAATGATCAACTGAACTACCAATGGGTCAAGGAAGAAATAAAGGAAGAAATTAAAGACTTTCTAAAATTTAATGAAAATGACCTTACAACATACCCAAACTTGTGGGACACAATGAAAGCAGTTCAAAGAAAAAAGTTCATAGCACTAAATGCCTACATAAAGAAGCTGGAAATATCCCACACTAGTGAATTAATAGTACAACCGAAAGCACTAAAACAAAGAGAAGCAAACTTACCCAAAAGAAGTAGACAGCAAAAAATAGTCAAATTGAGGGCTGAAATCAATAAAATAGAAACAAAGAGAACAATACAAAGAATCAATGAGACTAAAGAAATGCTCAACATCCTTAGTCATAAGGGAAATGCAAATCAAAACAACCCTGAGATTCCAACTTACACCAATCAAAATGACAGCTTATGCTGGAGAGGATGTGGAGAAAGGGGAACTGCAAACTTGTACAGCAGCTGTAGAAATCAGTATGTCAATTTCTTAGAAAATTAGGGATCAACTACCTCAAGACCCTGCAATACCACTTTTGGGCACATATCCAAAGGAGGCACATTCATACCACAAGGACATTTGTTCAACTATGTTCATAGCAATGTTCGTTATTCATAATAGCCAGAACCTGGAATCAATCTAGATGCCCTTCAACTGAAGAATGTATAAAGAAAATGTGGTACAATTACACAATGGAGTACTAGTCAGTGGGAAGAAACAATGACATCTTAAAATTTGCAGGCAAATGGGTAGAACTAGAAAAAAACATCCGGAGTGGGGTAACCCAGATCCAGGAAGACAAATATAGTATGTACTCACTCCGAAGTGGATACCAGACATAAAGCAAGATATCCAACCTATAATCCACAACCCCTGAGAAGCTAGAGCCCTCTTCCAAAAACAGATGGAAGCAGATGCAGAAATCCACAACTAACCATTAGGCAAAACTCCTGGAGTGCAATCAAAGTGAGGGAGGAGTGATAATATGAACAAAGGAGTCAAGACCATGATGGGGAAACCCACAGAATCAGCTGACCTGAGCTAGTGAGAGATCACTGACTCCTGTCTAACAAATGGGGAACCTGCATAAGACTGAACTAGACTCCCTTAATATAGGTGACAATAATGCAGGTGGGACAATATATGAGGCCACTGGCAGTGGGTCCAAGAGCTAATACTAATGCACAAACTGACTCTGTATGGAGAAATACCTTGCTCAGTCTAGACACAGGAGTGTGGGAGGTAGAGAGGTGCCTTGGTCCTGCCTCAACGAGATGATGGGACAGACTTAGTAGGCTTCCTAGGGGGGCAGCCTTACCCTCCCCCTGGAGGAGCAGATAGGAGATGGGGGGGCAGAGTGGGGAGAGCAGGAGGAGAGGAGGGAGGGGGAACTGGGATTGGAATGTAAAATATAAATTAGTAAAAAAAATTTTAAAAGAAAAGAAATCAAGACAGGGCTGGAGAGATATCTCAGTGATTGGGAACACGCCTTACTTTTCCAGAAGGACCAGAGTTCAATGTAGGCTTAGGTCACAGTTAAGTAAATCTAGTAGTACACACTGAAAGTTAGATTATTTGCCACAAAAGTAAAATGACAGCAAGTTTTCAGAGTAGTTTCAGCTGCCTCATTAGTCATCAACAACATACTATTTTATTATGTCTATAAACTGCCTCCCCAACCAGAAAGACACACAAGTGTACAGTTCAGTGGTAGCACGCATGATGAGCAAATGCAAGGCCCTGGATCCAACTTCCTGTAAAGAGAGGGAGGGATTCTAGTTCGACTCAGTGTTTAGTTATGGGTGTTTGCTTCTGTTTCCAACAGGTACTAGATGAGGGCTCCATGATGGTGGGTAAGTTAGTTGTTGATCCCTACACGTGGAATTGGGGTGGGAAGATGGGAGGGGAGGGTGGTCAGGGTGCATGTGAGGGGGGAAAAAGGGTAAGAGGGAGGGAAAGGGAGAGAAGGAGGCAGGAAGGGAGGGAGGGAGGAAAGAAGGGAGGCGGAACTGGGATCGACATGTAAAATAAAAAAAAATAAAAAATAATAAAAAAAAAAAGAGAGAGAGAGAGAGGGAGGGGGAAGGGGAAGGAACAAGAAATAGAAGAGAGAGAAGGAAAGGGAAAGAGAAACCAGCAGGGTCATACACACTATACACATGTCCCAGAAGTCTTCATGTCCTCACCAATTCTCATATTAAGCAGTTAGCGCTTCTTACCATGGCATTTAGCTGGGAGTTGCTTGCCTGTGTAATGCCAAGAATGTTGGTAGTGTGCATCACTTCAACCGAAAAACTCGGCAGCCAGCTCGCAATCCGGGACCCTAAAGCAAACCAGAATCCAACACAAGATTAGTGCCCTGCTCCCTTCCCCAGTGTCATCTATGTACTCAGCAGTCTACTACAGCTGGGGTTCACTGAAGGCTTCCTTTACACCAGGCCTCTTTGCCATGGTTTGTACCCTTATTAGTTTATTTTGTCCTCACTGAAACCTACACGTGTCTCCCATTCCTCTCAGAGATATGACTGTAGGTCGCAATCTTGGTTTTCGATCCCTGAGGCACTGAGAAGTTAGGTAACATGTCCAGATCACACAGGTTAATGATACGGCAGGATGTGAAGCTAAATAGCCATTCTACTTTAATCCATTCTCTCAGCAAAGAGCCTGAGGAAGATTCCCATGACTCTAACTGCTACAACAGCTGAGTTTCACTCTTCTTACAGCCAGTACAAATTACTCCTAATATAGAGGAGTCATTTCACAACGACCTTCATGAAGTATTTTCTGCTTAATACAATGTAAAGATTTGACCTTGGTCTGAGTGTTGTGATGCATGCCTTATTTTATTTTTTTTAAATAGGTATATGAGTGTTTTGCCTCCATTTATGTATGTACATTGTGGGTATGCAGTGCCTGCAGAGGCCAGAAAGAGGGTGTTTGATTCCCTAGGACTAGAGTTACAGATGGGTGCTGGGAATCAAACCCGAGTCCTCTGGGAAAACAGCCAGTGCTCTTAACCACTATGGAGAGTCATCTTTCTGGTCCCTTTAATCCCAGCACTTGGAAGAGAGAGGCAGGTGTATCTCTGTGAATACGAGGTCAGCCTGATCTACACAGTGGCTTCCAGGCCAGCAAGCACTACACAATGAGACTATGCCTTGGGGGACAGAGGCAGAATAAAAAATTCAAAAAATCTTTAATACTAGGTTTGTGGGGTAATACAATAATGATGTTGCTGCTTCTGTTATTTTAGAAAAGGGGAGTTCAAAATACAAAGCCATTGTGTGACAGCTATGAAACAATTCAATATCAAGCTTCATGTGTAGGGGTTGCTTCAATCCTTTACAACCATTAAGTAGCAACATGGAATATAAGAGGTCTTACCAAATAAAATGTACTTAATATGAAAAGGTTGTTTATTTCAAGAATACACAAAGGACAAAGTGACTGTCTGACTCCATTTGTAGGAATAGCAATTAATAAAATGACAGCTTATAGAACCCAGGTCTGGTGGTGCAGGCCTGTGAGTCTAGCTGCTTGGGAGGCTGAGACAAGGGAATTATCTCCCAAGTACTGGGACTAAAGGCGTGAGCCTACTATACCTTTTTAACTAACAGAATCAAGCCAGCCCTGCTGTGGAATAATCCTTCCACATGATGTGAATATGTATTACTCTTATTGGTTGATAATAAAACTGATTTGGCTTATTGCAAGGCAGAATAAGGCTAGATGGAAAACCCAAACTGAAAATACAGAGAAGAGGGGCAGGTGATGCAAGCAGCCGCCAGGGAAGCAAGAAGCTAGAGGACAGGTAAAGCCACGAGCCATGTGCCAAAATATAGATTAGTAAAAATGGGTTGATTTAAGTTTTAAGAGCTAGTTAATAATAAGCCTAAGCTATAGGCTGAGCATTCTGCAATTAATATATAAGCTTTTGTGTGTTTATTTGGGACCAGGCAGTTGGGACAAAAACAAAGCTCCACCTCTGTTTACATAGCCCCTTACATAGCCTCCTCCAAAATTCCAGAATGGCCCTGGAACTGATGGGCAATATATCCACTGGGTACATGTGAATCCAGGGAAGATAAGCAGCTCCTGGCTACAATGTCCATGACCTTAGAGTGCAAACTACAGGGACAGTCATGCTTTACGGACGAAGGACCAGGGCTCCAGTTCTGATTCCACCCACCATACTTCCTGAGAAGCTAACTTAAGGAGCCTTCATCACATGCTTATATGCCACACCAATACAACCAATTATTAGCCAAGGCTAACTATTAAACTGGTTATTTGGGTTCCTTGAAGGTAAACTTAATTCAATTTTATTACCTCCACCTCACCCCACTTCTTAATGACACAGAATTACTCCTCAGTTCTACCTACCTACCCATTCACCCTGAACACTTTTAGAATTCAGGTATAAATCAGACAGGGTAGGAAAAGCCTTTAATCCTAGCTCCAGGTAGGTTGAGGCAGTCCAAGGCCAGTTTGGGATACACAGAGAACACACTTGTATTAATAATCAAAAAAAAAAAAAAAAGTCAAAATGTCTTACTAAGATGGCAAGATAACCCTATAGATAGATAAAAGCACTCAGTGCTAAGCTTGACAACCCAAATGTAATACCCAGGATCCATAAGATACAAGAAAAGAACCAACATATTCACTAACTGCCCTGACCTCCACAGGTCATGGAGTATCAGTACACATGTGCTACAAATATACACATACAGAATAAATGAATGTAATAATGAATGCCATAAAAAGATTTTTAAAAAGTAATACTAAACATGTCTAGTATTAGGATAGTTTGTAATAGTATAAACATAATATATACTTGTATAATACTAAACAGGGCAGTTAAAATTCTAACAATTTCATTTTAAGAAAGAAAATCCCACAGACGGTGTAGCGATTGGAGACAATTTACCATCAAAGTGGAAGAAGTGATTGTGTTGGTTTAAACGAGGCCTGCCTTCTGCAGCTGCCACAGGGACCAAGTTCTCATCCAAGTTCTCTCCTTGATGGTCTTCCCTGGCACGACTGCTATCAGCAATATTAAGAGACATCCTGCATGTTGGACAAGAGGTGTCTTGTTCTAGCCAAGAACGAAGGCAGGAGCTGTCAAAAGTTGAAAGGAAAAGATATGAACATATTCAATTGCTCTATAACATATTTTGTGAGAATTTTTCAGAATTACTGATTTTTCTAATTTTACTTTACTTCTACTACTAACCTGATCTAAATGCTGAGAAACATTTGTAGATACCTCTCTAGCCTCCCTCACTCTAACACACAGACATGTAACACACTCCTGGTAATGGCACATCCTCAATCACTTCCCAGCATGGCTTCTCATCTCCCCAACTCAATTCAGTTACTTCAGAATCCACGTGGCTTAATCATCTAATATTCAGCCTCTTCCATCCTTGAGTCCTCTACTCAATGGTCTTTCTTTTTACTACTTTAGCTATTGACCGAGGCCTTGTCTTCAAAACAATGACTTTGGAGATCTACTAACCCACTCCTCTCTATCCTCCAACCTCACTTAAAACCCTTCCATGGTGGTCCACTGATGGGAGATGTCATTCTGTACATGTTTCTCATAATGGTTATGAATAAAGCACTGTTGGCCAATAGGAAAGGAAGATAGGAGGGACTAGGAGACAAGGAGGAAATAGGAAGTAGTAAGGAGAGTCAAGATGGAGAGTCTGGAGAGAGCTGGACGCCAGCAGCCTCCCCGGTAAGAGAAGGCCACGTGAAAATACATAGATCAGCAGAAATGGGTTAATACTTAAGACAGAGCTAGCCGATAAGAAACTAGTACCGGGCGAACAGAATTATATCTAATACAGAGTCTCTGTGTTTTAATTGGGCTGGCGTGGCAGCTAGGCGGAAAAACCATACACCTTATAAATGGCGCCCAACGTGGCTAATAAGAACTTCCACTTAAAATTTAACAAAAGCTTAGAAAAGGGTTTTAGAAACAAAAGAACAGAGACAAGCAAGGTTTCTTGGTAGCAGTATTTTTCTCGGTTGAACTCTGCTTTGCGAGAGACAAGCAGATATTTGCGCGGCTCCTTAAAGGGGAAGGTTCCTGACTCAGCATAAGCGGCAAAAAACCGCAAGGCTTTAAAAAAGCACTACTAACAATTTATTGGTGTGCATGAGAGATGGCAATGGCAGTGACCACATCTCCAAGCAGGCAGCATGCCTGCTGGATGGCAGCGTTGACCAGGGCAGTGACCACAGCTTTCATTGCTGGCGGTAAAGGTACCTGCCGCCATCTTTGGTAATCCGCAGCAAAAACAACTATGACTTTAATTTCAGCAATGTTGTTGTTTAACAGATAAAGACTCATGGCCAGAAAAAGATAAAGATTTACAGTAAAGACAGATTCATATGAAGAAAAACCTCTAAAGGTTTACAGTGTGTTTTAAAAAATACGTAGGCTTGGAAAAAACAAAAACAAAACAAAACAAAAAAAAAAACCAACATGGTTTTAAAAAGCAGAGAACAGCTGGGTGTGGCAGCACTCGCCTTTAATCCCAGCACTCAGGAGACAGAGGCAAGCAGATCTCTGTGATTCCAAGTAAACCTGGTAGGCAGAGTGAATTCCAGGACAGATAAGAGTTACACAGTGAAACCCTGTCTCAAAAAATGAAAATAATAGAAGAGAGTAATAATAAAGCCCCGTAAAAATGAAAAGCTCAGAGAGAATCTGTATACTGTATGGCATTATATTGTCTTTATATCATTTGACTGCTGAGGAAACAACTGATAAAAGAAATACTGATGCATTAATTCAATTTATGTATTTTAAAAATGCTTTGACTCCAAAATTTAAGTCTAAGGACAAGTTACTGGGGAAAAGGATTTCTACTTTTGTTTCCACAGAAAATGAAAAGCTGTGGATTCCTTTCAGACTAATATGGTTTGATCAAGCCAGACCCCCTGAAACAGAGTTCCTGGTGATCCTACATTCAAAACAGCTGAACAAAGCAGCCTTGTAGACTACAGCCAAGATTTCTGCGTCTTCTTAGGATTCCCCCATGACAGCTCCCTTTACCAGCAAGAAGTAGTTTGGAAAGAACGATGCTCAAATTCCCAAATATTGTTTATAAATGTTTGTTTTCATTTATATGGGGTTGGTTATAAATGGTTAATGATCACAACCAATATCTTTTTAAAGGTAAAAAAGGGATTATGGTATAGATATGAATACTTTGTTTTGGAATGGATTTTCATTTATTGATACAATTTAAGGTCAATTTTGTGATGTGTATATTTCTCCTTTTGTTTAGGTATTGTGTTTATATAGCTCATTTAGAAATGTAATGTATAATTTAGTACAGATTATAGGTAGTTACCTATAATAGTCAAAACTTATAGTTAAGTTAGTTAGGTTTTCTAGATATACAGAGATGTATTTGAGATGGATAGGCATTCTTCAAACCTTTCAAAGACCTACAGAATATGGCATTTAAAATGGTTTAGGGTTTTTCTTGACAATGAGGCACAACTGCTCCTGGCAACAACACCTTCGTCAAAAAGGAAGATGGACATCAAAGAAATTCGTTATGGAGTTGACTTCCAATATGTCAAGACTAGCCATTTGGACAAGATACTGGTCTTGTTTGGACTGTTTGACTTTATGCTGTATAAAATGGACATGCAGGACCCACAGAAAAGTGACTGCTGATTCAAGATGGACATTGCAACAGCGTTCCTGCTTCATGGAAGAGTCTGCCAGACAGTCTGCAGGACACAGAGAAAAGTGACTGACAAATTGCCAATACAAGAAGACAGTTTAAAGTTTCCTGCTTTGCTGAAGAGTCTGCCAGACACACTATGGCCTATGGGCTGAAGATGGAAGATTACAAAAGAACTTCAGGTGACTGACAAGGCAAGATGTCTCTGTCATTTCTAGAGTTTATATATTAACCTTTTGTGGTCTTTGATGGAGTTGAAGACAAATAGTTATGGTTATAGTTTTCCTTAGTTAGGTTTAAAGATAAGTTACATATAGGACTTTAGATTCACAAATATAGGACAGATGATAGTTTCTTTTAATCTTGCTAAATGTTAATGGACTAAATATTGTTAACTGTGATTCTTATTTCATAACTGTTGTGTGATATATTTTGCTATGTTAAGGTTAAAACCCTTCTTTTTATTTAGACAGAAAGAGGAGATGATGGGAGATGTCATTCTGTATATGTTTCTCATAATGGTTAATGAATAAAGCACTGTTGGCCAATAGGAAAGGAAGATAGGAGGGACTAGGAGACAAGGAGGAAATTGGAAGTAATAAGGAGAATCAAGATGGAGAGTCTGGAGAGAGCTGGACGCCAGCCGCCTCCCCGATAAGAGAAGGCCACGTGAAAATACATAGATCAGCAGAAATGGGTTAATACTTAAGACAGAGCTAGCCAATAAGAAACTAGTACCGGGCCAACAGAATTATATTTAATACAGAGTCTCTGTGTTTTAATTGGGGCTGGCACGGCAGCTGGACCAGACCAGGCGGCGGGCGGAAAAACCATACACCTTACAGTCCACCCAGCCAGGGGCCCTCTGGACCCTGCCTACTACTCCTACCTCGGCCAGACACACACCTTCGTCTTCGGTGAGGTCACACACCTGCTTCAACCTAGTTGCATCTACACCAACTCCCCACTGCTGTAGCAACTCCCTGCACCCTCTCCAACTTGCTCTTTTTTTGCCGATCTCACTTCTGCTCATCCTCAAGTCCCTCCCTCCAAATCTGAATCCAATTCCTTTGTCACTACTCTTCAGAGATCTCCTGACTCTCTCCTGAGTGCTGGGATTAAAGGTGTGTGCCACTACTTCAGAGCCCTGTTTCTTTCCTATAAAGCATGCAGGGCACATCCTAAATGTGCTGGTTAATTAAACTGCAGGCACCACAAAGACCTCACTTGTTATTTCCATTTTACCCCCACAGCCCAACACATTACCCTAATTCTATCATATAAAACAGTCTGTTGTCAAGACATTTGTTCAGTAGCTAACTTCAGCTCCAAAGCCTTTCTGATATTAAAAAGAGGAAGACTGAAGGTGTTAAGATAAAAAAACAATTCAATAGTCAAGAGACCAAAAGATACCTCTAAATTTATAAATAGCAAAACACTAAGTCCATGTACATAATTATTTAGCTTAAATAACCTTGATGACATCTCTGAAATATGAGACCTTCTCCAATCCAGGAAGTTGATATAAGGCCTAGCTGTGAGAGATGCAGATGGATTACTTAAATGGCCTTGGTCTAGTCTTATTTCAATCCTGTAGTATTTTTCACACTACTTCTGAGCATGTGCAAAGTGTACAAAAAAAAAAAAAAAAAAAAAAAAAACCTAGAATTTTTTTTCTCTCCCTGGAAAAATGAAACCCCTTTTAAAAAATACTATAGACTTATTTGTTACTTTACAACTTAAATGGAGAAAAAAAAAGAAAAATTATGAAAGGAAGATAATAAATAGAAGTTAAATTGGCAAGTAGGGGTAAAGAATATAGTCTAAGGACAAAAGAGGAGGTTCAGGACCTTAAAAAAACAGAAAGCCTGTCACAGGCTCCAAGTAACATCAATAACAAGGCCAAGCTGAGGTAACATCGTTGCTCCACTGCTGAGATTATGGTCAAATCCACGTAAAAAGCACGTAAAGCCCCGGAAGCCCCAGAACAGAAGGCCACTCCCAAATACCCTGTACAAAGCTCCTACTTGTGAAAAAGATGTCCACAGGGAAGTTTCCTTGCAGCCTGCATGGAGTCCCAGCAGATTGCACAGTCATCATTATTGACTGCTAGCTCCTCTGGAGTTGCAACTGCAAACCTGTAAAACATTAACAGGTCCAGCAGGAACTCTTAGTTTCACACACATCCTATATATTGGATATTATATTATACACCTAACCACTATAATAGCACAAGTACATAACAAATTTGATAAATTAAAAAAGTATTTTTTTTTCTTCATAGCCCTTAGAAAACCATGAGAGAAACTTCAGCACAAAAACTGACTCTGCAGTAACAGTGGCACCTGTTAGTGACATATTCAGAATATTTACAGACATATCAAAGGAACCAGGCCCCCACAGATCCAGACTGCCCCTGAGAAACAAAAAGGGTACCCACTACTGCACTTTCTGGTTTGGGTTAGCCTCAGGTTGGCAAGTGAATGTCTTCAGTGAGTGAGTGATGCCCATAAACATGCATGTATAGAGTGTAATAAAGATACACCTCCCCAAAATAAAGATGGTGGAAGACCACTGGTGCTTCCCCTCAGTAGCGACAAGAGACAATAACTAAAAATAAGAACAAAAAAAGAAGGTTCTATGTCTCTTTAAAAGATAAGGTCACTGGAGTACATGGAGTTAATAAATTGCCCCAAACCACCCTGCAACTAAGTGGGATAAACACTCAAGCAGTCTGAAATGACAGCCTGTACTCTTCTGGCTCTTTATAGGAATACAAAAGCAAGTTATGGTGGAATGTAGGAATTATTGCTATTAAATGAACTCAAATGAAGCTGGGAGTAGTGACTGAAGTAACCAGATTATGAATTTAAAGCTGGCCTAGAAGATGAGTATAGCGGGAGTGAGTAGAGGGTCAGCCTAAGCTACAGTGAGATCGATCCTGTCTCAATACCACACACACAAGTTAAAATGAGGAACTCGGGCAACATCGAGCCATACTGTCTTACCTGGCTTCCATGTTTCCTACCACACGCAAATAGTTCTTGTGTCGACGGATTCGCCGCTGCACCTCATGGAACAAGTAACGAAGCTGCATAAAGATGACCAGGCTAGCCATAGATAACCAGATGTTGCCAAACAACTAAACAGAGATGGGAGAAAGTAAAATATACAATAAAAACAAGTGTGAGGGGCTAAAGACATAGCTCAGAAGGGTAGAATGCTGTGTTATGATGTCCAGCACCCATATAAAAAGCCAGGCATGGCCATGCACATTTGTAACCCTAGAGACAGAAGGCTTCTGAAACTAACAGTCTGGTTCATAAGTGAATTCCAGACTCAGGGAAGAAAACCTTTTTCAAAAAATATGGTGGAGAACAACAGAGGAAACCACCTTGCATCAACTTCCGGTCTCTACACATGTATCCATACTCACATCTGTGTGCTGGTGAGCACATGCACACAACATGTACATAAACATACATGCACTCTCAAACACACACACAAACAGATGCACATGCAAGCAAATTTGCTAGTGATGAAGGTGCATGAACAACAGAAACTCTTTAAGGTGAAAGGGAACTGGAACAATCTTTCAGTGAGTAAATGCATATATTTATTTGATTGCCCTAAACAATACATTTAGCTCTTCAGCCTAGGTATCCCACTGCCAGCAATCTTTCCTGAGTAATTAACCAGAAATTTAAAAGCTTAATGCAAAAAGTTATCTAGCCATGCAGACTTATATATACATAAACACACACACATTTCTGGAGGACTCTGGAGCAGGATCTTCTGTACCCCAGACTGTCCTGGAACTCATTGAGTAGTCATTGAGTAGTCAAACATGATTACCTTGAACTCCCAGTCTTCCTGCTTCTTCCTCTTAGATTCTGGTATTATAGCCATGTCTCATGACCCCCAGTTTATGCAGTACCAGGATCAAACCCAGGGCTTATTCATGCTAAGCAAACACTCCACCAGCTGAACTATATCTCCAGCCCAAGCATCCATGCAATTATAAAAGAAGAAATATGGAAATGAACAAGATGCCAAACAGAAGAACAAGTAGGTTACAAAATTTATATAGTTTATTTGATTTATTGGAATGATTTTTTTATATTTTAATACTATATTTTATACAAAGAAGGTTTGAATGTTAATTAACTAAGAAAATAATATTTTTGAGTAAAAAGGGCAGGATATAACTACCTTAAATACACTAACATATTTTAAATTATATTAAATCTTGAAAGAACAAGGAAATAAATGTAATTTAAATAGACCATTTCAGGGTAGACATAATTAAATCATAGTGTAGCTATGTGTTAAAAGTTTTATTTGAAGATATTAGGATGGTTTGGAAGAACTGCTGATAGCATTACTATGTTTATAACATAGTAATTTTTAAAAATTGGCTGGGAATGTAGCTCAGAAGTAGAATGCTTATTTATCATGCATGAATCCCTAAGTTTGACACCCAGTATTGCACAAGCAAACACACACAAAAGTTGTATGTCCAAGCTGGACAAAACAGCCCTACAGACTACAGCTAGGATATCTGAATCTTCTTCGAATCCCCCAAGACAGCGCCCCTTACCAGCAGGAAGTAGTTTGGAAAGAACGATACCCAAATTCCCAAATATTGTGTATAAATGTTTGTTTTCATTTAATTGGACTTTGTTATATAAAATTTAAAAAATTATAAAAAAAAGTTGTATGTCCAAAATACGAATCAATTTATGAACCTATGTATTTAAATATATAAGCTAGAGGGCCAGTGAAATGGGCTCAGAAGGTAAAGGTGGGTGCCTCCTGCCAAACCTGACAACATATTTGATCCTGAAGACCCACCTGAAGAACTGAAGCAACTCCAGCAAGTAGTCCTCTAACTTCCACACATACACTGTGGCTTGAACACCCATACACACATGTACACATGCACACACTAAATGTAACAGAGCTTTAAAAAAGCAGTTACATACAACAAAACACCAAGCTTCCATGTCAAATTCTAACTATATATAATTTCATTACATTGTATAGACTTTGGGTCTGTTTAATTTGATGTGTAATATTATTTACTTACAAGGCTTTTATTATAAAATTAAAAAATACAAAATTTTATTTTCTTCATTTTCAGAAAGTGCACTCATAAATGTGCACTGCTCACTCTGCCCAGTAACTTAAACGTTACTGTGATGACATTATAAATAAATCCCCATGACTACACTGGGTCTTAACATCATTAATTAAGACTTTTTTTTTTTCTTTTTGTATGTGCACATTTGTCTGTGTGAGGGTATCGGATCTCCACAAACTGGAATTACATTTGTGAGCTGCCATGTGGAACTGAACCTGAGTCCCATGAAAGAGCAGCCAGTGCTCTTAACTGCTGATCCATCTCTCCAGTCCATCAGTTAGATTTTTTTAAATGCTCACCTGTCAAGGAGACTTATATTTCCCTCTTGTGGTGCTGGGGACCACTAAACCAGGGCACTGAATATGCAAGTGAGTGTTCTACCTCAGGTACATCTCCAGCCAGTCCTTAGTGTCTGAGATAGGGTCTCAGGATATACCTAGACTGGCCTTGGCCTTGATGATTCTCCTGCCTTTGCATCACAAGTGCTAGAATTATAGGTGGGTAAGACTGACAGACCCTGCTTCAACACTGAAATGTCTGACACACCAATTAAAGGCACTTAATTAAGATACTAAGTATAAGCACTTTATTTTTAATTACAAAGGCCAAAAAAACTATAAATAAATCTATAAGGAGGTAAACGCAGCAAGAATTCCCATTCCCACTATAAAGCAACTGTTCAGTAGGGAAACCCCTTTTATCATGCTTAAATAATGCTCTGAGTCTCCTAGTACAGCAATCACCTCCTAAGCTGGCACCAACCAAAGCAGTCCACAGCACTGCTTTACACCCAACTGCCAAAGATGAAGGCTGCCCAGCCACACTCCAGTCTTTTAAGTGGTTCATCCACATCTACTGAGTATTTCACTTTTTTAATGTACAAACCAGGGTTCTTGTCTTGAAAATCTCAGCCCTCTGCCAGAGCTCTTTCCAGGGGAACTCACCAGCATGTGAATGTGGTGCATGAGGTCCAGGGACAAGAGAGTGAGCTCCATGACAAAATCAGTGTAATACACATAGGTTCCCTTTCCTTCCCAAGTCCCTTCATGGTTAAGGTCCCAGAGGTGAATTATATATCTGCAATTTAGGCAGGAAGAGAAAAATATGTTAACTTACCATTATAAGGAAATTTAACTTGAACGTGTTACAGTTTAGTCACATTTTTATATATTTCAAACTATTACATCTCAAAGTCAACTGAACAAGTAAATGTCAATCATCTCTCCAAAAATTTCTACTCACCTTAAAATCACATGAGCTGTCCTCACTGTTACCAAAAGAGACTGAAAAAGAGAAATACTTCTTAGTTTAATTGAAAAGCAGATTTCTATAAAACAAAACAAAAACAAACAAGATAAAAAGTAGGTTGGTTAAGTTTATCACACTTTCACTTCCTCTGCCCTGTTTCCATAGAGTATTGTCACCATGCAGGAGCCCCACTTTTGTTAAGGCTTTCCAGTTGACAGTGATGAACAGCTGTCCCTGCCCATCTCCAAGGAATGCCTTCTGCAATGACGAGAGGTTCTCTTCACTGTCTAACAACCACCTCTACTGACACATCACTAAGTCACCATGATTGGTTACCTAACAAGATATGTCACTAGGGTGATTGTAATGCCAACTACACACCACCTACAAGTGCCCTACAGGAGCAGCAGCTCTATCCTGAAGCTTCTGCATTTACCAGAACAAAGGAGAACAAAGGAATCAAACCCAAAATAAGACTCTCATGGCATTTTTTTTAAATACAAACTGACCTTAATAAACATTTCTTCAAGCTATACATGATCACACACACCAATAACCCCAGCATAGGAAGAATCCATTCAAGGTCATAGTATACTGAATCTTGACTAAGAAAGGTGGGGTGGTCTGTTTGTTTGTTGTTTGGCTTTGTTTTTTTTTCTGAAACAAGGTCTCACTGTGAAGTTTTAGTTGCCCTGAAGCTAGGTATGTAGAACAAGGTGGCCTCAAGCTCAGAGATCCTCCTGGGTTCTGCAAATGTGGCTATACCACCAAACCTAGCCACTCAGCCTATTTTAAGTGTGTTTACTTTTATGTATATCTTTTCCTCGGTTTGGCAGAATATTAAACTGAAAGTTAATAGCAACAACAACTAAAAGCAAAATGAAAGTATCATTCAAATAATACTTTTATTTAAAGCAAAGTAATTACTATGCCTATATGGTTTTAAACAGGTCTTTTTAACAGGGAACATTACTACATACTTTCACAGATACATATTTAACTGGAATTACAAATATTTTTACTAAGTACTTAAATGTTATTCTAATTTAAAAATTAATATTCATTATGTACACCATGTGCATGCCTAGTACCCTCAGACATCAAAAGAGGGTGTCAGGTCCCCTGGGAAGAGAGTTAAGGATAATTGGGTTCTATGAGGGTGGTTGGGAACATAACCTGGGTCCACAGCAAGAACTGTAAGTACTCTTAGCTGCTGAGTCATCTCTTCATCCCTACCCCTTTTCCTAATTTTATTGGCACTACATTATACTCTGAAATAAATACGACTGGGCAAAAATAAACTTTAACCTAGCTTCTAACAAATTCCTAAATATTTACACCTAATCTGTTTTGACGATAAATAACTAGCTTCTGTATAGCCACTACAGAGATCTCTCTTATCCACTGTAGGCATGCCATTTCTTTCTTTTTTTGAGACTGAGTCTCACTATAGCTCTGGCTGTCCTGGAACTCACTATATAGACCAGGCTGGCATCCAACTCAAAGATCATCCCTGCCTCTGCCTCCCAAGCACTGGGATTAAAGGTGTGCTATATAGACTGATTTTTCCTATATGCCCTAATGCATTACCAGATAATATTAAAGGTAACCTGTCCTGGCTTATACCTGTGCTTCCTTTGATTCATTATTCTTGTACACTATGGTCATTATTAAGCAGATAAAAAAGGTTATTAGTGGTACTTAGTACTGGTTGTCAACTTGACAGACTCTGGAACCACCTGGGCCTCTAAGCATGCCTATGGGAATATCCTAATTACCTTAACTGAGGCAGAAAGACCCAGGGGCTCTGAAACCCTCTCCTGACCAGGAGGAATCCTAGACTGTACAGATAGAGGAGGAGAACTTAGCAGCAGCATGCATTCATTGCTGTCTGCTTGTCAGTACAGATACAATCAGATAACCTGCTTCCTGTTCCTACTACCATGCATCTCTCTCTGCCAACTGCCATTAAAACTTTTTTTTTTTGGGGGGGGGCTAGGCCATGATGGCACATGCCTTTAATCTCAGCACTCAGGAAGCAGAGACAGGTGGATCTCTGGGAATTTGAGGCCAAGGCCAGCAGCGTCTATAGAGTTCCAAACCAGCCAGAGCTGCATGGGGAGGCCCTTTCTAAAACAAACAAACAAACAAAAAACCCATAGAGAGTTGGAGACAATTCAGTGGTAGAACTCTTGCCTAGCATAACTGAAAGTCTTCCAGCAACACGCATACACACAGTAAAATGCCTTTAAAATAAAATAATGAACAGCATTTAAATGATTATTATATACACTTTTAATTCAGCTTTAAAAATGATATATTTCATTAATATTCACCACTGCCTGGTATTTTGTTATATCTTAAGGAGAATGTATTCCCTAATTTGGAGTAAGAGGATTTGAACTGCATTTGTTATTCTGAAACCTCAAATAGCTCTTAATGAGTCAACAGTAAAAAATTTAAAATTATTCTTGGGGGGCTGTGGCCCTGTGGTAGTAAAGCCCTTGCCCAGGATGTACAAAACCCTAGCACAGGAGAAAAAAAGTTTCCACAACAACCCCTGGCATGACACATGTGTGCACATGGGCCAGAGGAGGACGTCAGGTATTCTGCTCTGTCAGTCTTTGTCTTATTATACTGAAACACAGTTTCTCTCTAGAGCGAGGCTGGTGACCAACAAGCCCCAGCAATCATCCTGCCTCTGCCCCACACAGCCCTGGGGTTACAAATGTGTACACACAACCATGCCCAGCTTTTCACATTGGTGCTGGGATCCACACTCAGGTCCTCGTGCTTGCACAGCACATGCTCTTACCTGCCAACCCAGCTCCCTAGTTGATGAATTGTTGAGAAAAAGAATTCTTTCACTAGGTTACAGCAGGATTATATGAAATACCGCATATAAAAGTATTCAGTACCAGCATCCAACAAAAGCAGGAACATAGTAAATGCCTATTAAAGCCTGGTGGTGGTGGCACACGCCTTTAATCCCAGAACTAGGGAGACAGATCTGTTGAGTTCAAGGATTGCCTGGTCTACAGAATGAGTTCCAGGACATCTAGAGCTACCCAGAGAAACCCTTTGGTGGTGGAGGTGGGGGGGAGGGACAGCCTGTTAAAGACAACAACCAAATACCTTTTACAATAGTCTGTCATAAATCATCTGGTCTTAAAAATGTTTAGGAATCCAACGACTGTGCCCAGCACCTTACCTCTGCAGCCATGAAAGCCAAAGTGTGCATGCCATGAGTATAGCCTGTGACACAACAGACAACTGCCAATCCACAGCAGGAGAGCAGCATAGCAATCAAAAGAGACAGGACTCTCCCATGGCTGCTCATTGGTGTAGTGGGAGAAAAGGAAAGCTGAAAGAGACAAAACAGATACACAGTTCATTCCCCCACCATGGCAACTACCTTCAGAATTCAAGATCAAGCTTGCTATCTTTGCTTGGGGCACTAAACTAACACAGAAAAGCCCAAACTCTACCATGACCTAAATGCATGAGTTGAGATAAATCTCTATCATTAATTTACCAGATACAGTATACACTATATTTTCATCTCATATATAGGACTCAGAACAGTGTCCTGTTCTGCTGTGTTTCTGTTTGACTTGTTCTAATCTTCCACATCAGAATTCCCTTGGAGGCCTAACCTATTAGGGATAGGAAAAGGAATTACAGAATTACAACTCATAATGGTATATGTTAATATGAGGCAAAAGAAGGAAAAAAGCAGGAGACAAGAACAGAAAACACACACGAGTTCGGGTTGTATATAATGTATATATCACAGCTCCTTCACACTCTGACCTAATGTAAGTAGGGAGTGACTATAGTCCTTGGGGGAAGGGGGTGAGGGAGGTGGGAGGAGCCCTAGAAAACAGGTGTCTTACAGCTGTGGCAGAAGCTCCTCAAGAAACAGGGCGTGATAGATGACCTAGAAGTCCCCTCTCAGAGTCATCCCAAGCATGCAACCTGTGACTTTCTCACATTACTTCTTACATCAAACCTGGCACACACAAGTGACTGAGCAATGAAAGAGGGTTGCTAAAAAACTCACGTATTCAAACCGGTCTTTGCAGAGCTGAACCATCAAATGCAGAAAAACAAGTCCAGCAAACCAGAGGCACCACATCACCACCTCCTCCACAGTCTGGACATTCAGCACACCAAAAATGAAAATGAACTTGTAGAAAATAAAATTCCAAAACTTGTCTTTGAGATGCTAAAAAGAAAAGAGTGTGTAAGGTGAGTTCCATCATACCAAGTTTACTTATGAGACATTAACATAACAAAAGCAAGCTTACTGAGCACTCTGTATGAAAGACAAAGAAAACAGAAGAGAGGTAAGACAGCTACAAAGTGATCTCTGAACTGAAATTGGAACAGCTAGGAAGTTTCAGCTATTAAAATAGTTGTATTAGTCTAGTCCTTATGTAGTAAGAAGTATTTTATATTTACATGTACAGTAGAAAAGATCAAAGGTCATCAGTATTATTTTAATACTTCTGCAATCCTTCTTAAACAATAGAAAAGATTAGACTTTCTAAATACAGTATTATTAAGCAGGGCTGGGGAGATGGTTAAGTGAGTACAGTACTTGTCAAGCATCATGAAGACCTGAGTTTGGAACCCTCGTACCTAAGTAAAAGCCAATGGAGAAGTACACTTGTCTGTAACCCCAGTACTGACAAACAGGGACAAGCAGATCCTTGCAGCTCATTGGCCAGTCCAGCTAAATTGAAGAGTTCCAGGTTTAGGGAAAACCTGTCTCAGAAAGTAAGATGGAATTGGGCGCTGGGCAATATTGGTACACACTTTTAATCCCAGCACTCGGGAAGCAGAGGCAGGTGGATCTCTGTGAGTCCAAGGCCACGTTGGACTACAGATCAAGTTCCAGGACAGCTTGGGCTGTTACACAGAGAAACCCTGTCTAGAAAAAAAAAACCAAAAAAAAGGGATAGAGAGAGCATCTGACTGGGCTCCATTCCCAGCACCCAGATCAGGCAGCTCACACAGCACATGGTGCAATAAACTGATGCAGACATATATAAACAAAAATAATGCAGTTTTAAATCTTAAGGGGAAAAATGTAGAACGCAATTGAGGAAGTCCTCAAAGTCAACCTCTGGTCTCCAGATACATGCAGATACATGCAAATACATGCACACACATCCACAATACATACACATGTACATACACCCACAATGTATACAATATGCACACACACACATTCCACACAATAATAAATTAAAAGGCCACTTGCTAATATAGAATCAATAAATTATTTAACATTATGCCTATCCACACAGGTAAGTATGGTTGTGTCTGCCTGCAATCCCAGCACTTGGGAAGCCAGCCTGAGCTACATAGGACCCTGTCTCAAAAACAAACAAACAAAAAAGCTAAAACCAAATCAAGATTAAAAATAAAATAATGACCTTAATATTTATCTATCTTTCTTCATCCAATAGGCAAATATTTTAATTTTGAACACTGTTTTTTCTCACCTATTAATGTGAGAATTTTATTAATGTAGTTAAATATTCTCTAGATATATCATCATACTGACTTAATGGTAACAGATAGAATCAATTTTTTTTAAATTTTCTCCTATCCAAAGAATATCTTATGAAATTACATATAATTGAACAAGTTCCTACTTCAGCACTATTCAAAGGAAGATTACAACAGTCTTATTATTTCTAGTAATAGTCACCTGCTTTGTAAATAAATGCTAAGGTGTTCCATAAGCAGTATTGTTATTATATACAAATGTCTTGCCTACTTGTTATATCTGTACCATGAGTGCCTGGTGCTTCCACAGATCAGAAGTGTTGGGACACCCAACACTAGAGTCACAGATAGTTGTGAGTCACCATGTGGGTTCTGGGAATCAAACCTCTCCATTTCTCCAATCCTTATAATCTTTTTTTAAACCAAAATCTTTCAGTTTTAAAAATTTTCACTTTCCTGGGGCAGGGGAAAAGGCAAGGGAACAACAAATGAGTTCCATTTCTTACAGATATTAAAATATTTTATTGCCCCAGCTACTGATGGGGGTGGTAAGAATCTGGGTAAAGATAAAAAAGAATGCACTTTTTTTTTTTTTTTTAAGACAAGCAGTCTTTATGGAGCTCTGACTATTCTGTAGACTAGACTGACCTCAAATTCAGAGATCTGCCTGTCTCTACCTTCCAAGTGCTGGAATTAAAGGCATATGCCACCATGCCCAGTAAAAACATGACTTCTAATGAGACTTTTATATGATTTTTAAAGATTGTAAACATTTACAAATTTAAAATAAAATTAAAGCTAGGAGAGCATGGTTGTGTTGCCCCAATAATCCCATCACATAGAACTGGAAAGCAGAGGCAAAAGAGTCTTGAGTTTGAGGTCAGCAAGACCCCAACACAAAGAATAGAATTACTTTGAGAGTGTGAATACAACTCTGACTCGATACCTTGTGTTCAGAGAACAAAGTTAACTTGGAAAAATAAAAACAAAAGAATATCTATCCACCCCAAAGGCAGACACTCAGCAGCAACGGTATCACTGCCCTTACACAGTGTGGACCCTGGTTCTGAACACCATGCCCCAACAGAGTAAGCTTGGAATCCTGGGCAAATGTCTGTTTCCTGGGCAGGGAAAATAGGACTTAAGTATCACTGGTGGTGATTCCTGGCTCTGCTACTGTATAACTGTGAGGTCCTTGACATTTCATGCTTCAGCTTCCCAACCTGTAAAATAGGTCTTATTACAATAGCCTATGTCTCACAGAATAAGTGAAGAAATAAGTGACTTTAGTACATGTAAGGTGCTGGGTTTTTGGTTTGGTTTTGGCTTTTGTTTTTTCGAGACAGGGTTTCTCTGTAGCTTTAGAGCCTGTCATGGAACTCACTCTGTAGACCAGACTGGCCTTCAACTCACAGAGATCCTTCTGTCTCTGCCTCCTGAGTGCTGGGATTAAAGGCATGGATCACCACTGCCCTTGCCTGTAAAGTGTTTTTTTAAAATGCCCTAAAAGGCACTAAATGTTTTAAGTATTTTTAAAATAAAACTCTCTCTGGCTGGAGAGATGCTCAGTGCTTACAAGCTGCCCTTATAGAGGACACAATTTTGCTTTCCAGCACCCACATGGTAGCTACCAACCATCTCTAATCTGTAACTCCAGTTCTAGGAGATCCAATTTCTTCTTCTAGCTTCCACGGGCACCAGGCAGGAAAATGGTACATTTACATAGATGTAGGTAAAACACTTGCATAGGTAAGATATGTTTAACACTGAAAAGACTGAATTGGGTTAATACCAAAAGTTTCAAATACTTGAGGCAATGTTTCCTATAAATGTTGACCTGGTACAAAGCATCGGAGGCCCACTGCTGCCACTCAGACAGCTTGCCACAGCTTGGTCCATTTCCAGCTCAGAAAGAACCAAAGCTTTTAAGAAGAAATTGTAAAGAAAATTTTGAAGAATGGAAGAGTCAGAAGGAGTTTCAAAGCCAGAAGTAACAATAATTGCAGGACTAGGTGGCTGAGACATGAGGCCTGCTGAGTTCAAGGGCAGCCTGGTCTACAGAGCAAGTTCCAGGCCTGCAGAACCACACATCCAAGTCCTGTCTCAACAAAACAAAATCATGAAGAAATAGTCATAATGGGGTAGACTGGCTACCCTGAGTACGATTAAACAAAGTATTTTATCAAGGTTAACTTTTCTGATTTTTATCACTGTGCTGTGCCTACTCAAGAAGATATCCTTGCTCTTTGGAAAACATCCTGAAGTATCTGGGATAAAACTGTATGATGCTCACTAAATTCCAAATAGATTAGAAAATCTGTGTAAATAAGAAGTGACTCTGAGGACTAGGAAGATGGATCATCACTATAAGCATGTATGACTAAGCCTCCAGTTCAGTAAGAGGCCTCAGCTGAAAAGCTAAGGTGGAGAAATAGGAGAAGGCACTTAGAATTCTCCTCTGACCTCCATATGAGCCAAGCATAGGCAAGTGCACTTCTCACATAAGCAACACACATACACACACACACACACACACACACACACACACAAAACTAAAAGTGAATCTGGATAAAGTACATCTAAGAGTTCTTTATAGTATTCATGGAACATTTCTATATTCTTGAAATTATGACAAATGTGTTTATATATACATTTTTTTATATAGTGATTGTTTTTTTTTTAATTTTTTTTTACAAGAATCTGTTCACTTACCTGTCTCTCACTCACTCTAAGAGGACCAAACACAATACACTGGATAAGCTTAGCCACCAACATCAAAACACAGCAAGCAGTATTCACCAGAACCTGTCCACACATCAAAGAAAGAAAGGTTAGTTCTGGTGAAAAACAAATACAGTGCAATATTTCCTATCAGGAATTAGGCCATTAATCCCAAGCCTTTCTGGTTTCTACCTGTGCAAACTAAGTGCTACCAAAGCTAAACAGAGATGAGGCATGGGGAGGGGAAGCACCAGATCCACAGCTCACTGAGTCACACCCCTGCCCAGTGAGCACCCTCCTGCAGGCCACCTTCCTCACACCCCTGCCCAGTGAGCACCCTCCTGCAGGCCACCTTCCTCACACCCCTGCCCAGTGAGCACCCTCCAGCAGGCCACCTTCCTCACACCCCTGCCCAGTGAGCACCCTCCAGCAGGCCACCTTCCTCACACCCCTGACTAATGGGCACCCTCTCACCACATACTCCTGTGATAGAAAGAATACATACTGGCATCCCTAACTCAGTACAAAAAGATTAAAACATGTTTAGTTCTATTCTGTTGCCTAATAGGGCCAAGAAGATATTTTTAAAGGATTTAAATAAAAATAGTTCCATTGGGGGACAAGCTGGTATTTAAATCCTTCAATTAATCAGGTGGGGTCAAATAGTCCTACAGCCTTTTGACTCCTTATATAATATGAACCCAGTTCAAAACATCTCAGTACACACGTTGGACCCCAGCACTTAGGAAGCAGAGGCAGGCAGATCTCGGTGAGTTTTCAGTCTGTCTGCTATACATAGCTGATTTATAGGCCAGCCATGGCCACAAAGTGAGAGCTAGTCACAAACAAAACAAACCCTAGATTATAAGGAACTTCCAGTTGGTCCCAGCATATGTGAGGCAGTTCACAACTGCCTATAACTCTAGGTCAGAAAGATCTATTTTGCCTGACCTCTATGGGCACTGTCCTAGTACACAGGCACACGTGCAAAGGAAAGCTGGAAAGATGGCTCAGCAGTTAAGAGCACTGGCTGTTCTTCTAGAGGACCTGGGTTCAGTTCCCAGCATGCATCTGGTGTCCTACAACTGTCAGTCTCATAACCAAGACCCTCTATTGCACACACACACAGAGTACACAGACACACCATACATGCAGGTACAACACCCATACACATAAAACAAGAATAAGTAAAATCTCAAAAAAATTTTTTTTTCAGAGACCTGACAATACTCATTTTTTAAGGTACTGAGTAGACTAGTAAAAGTTGCACTTCCCTTGTATTTTGCAAGTCAATGAGACCCTCAGCCATCTAAATTAGAAGAAATGTCACCCAAAACCAAAATCCTCATACCAAATCTCTCTTCACCAGGCCAACAGGGTATTTTTAAAATCAACTAACCCCCAGCTAAATTGCAACTTTTTTTTTTTAAGGGTTCTTCCTGGTTTACACATCTTCATATGAGTTAAAAACACAAATGTAATAAATACATTCAGTAACTGCTCAGGAAATGGGAGAAAGGTAGAAAAATGCAGATCTTGACCCTGAACTCAGAAATCAAACTTAGAGTCTATCATTAGTTCTCTATCCCAAACTGCACCACTGCACCTCAGCCATAAAACAAAACTTAGTTTTACCTTTTCAGTTAAACCTTTTAAAGTTTTTTGACTTAAAAAAATATGTATAAAAAGTTTCTTCAAAGGGCTGAAAAGATGGTTCAGCAGTTAAAAGAGCACTTCCTGCTCTACCACAAGGTCCTAGTTCAATTCCCAGCAACCACGTGGTGGTTCACAACCACTTGTAACTTCAGGTTCAGGGGATCTAATACCTACTTCTGGCCTCCATAGGCACCTGTACTCCTCCACCCTTACACACACACACACACACACACACACACACACACACACACACACACACACAATTTACCCTCTCCCACCTCCAACAGCAAAAGTCTCTCAGAATCTCATCACCCATAGACAAACATTTCTATTTTAATCTAAATGGGAGATTTGAAAAAAATCAGCATGTCTTTTAAGTAAATCGGACTTGAAAAGGCATATGGAGCATTCATGGTGACAGACCTATATAATAAAAGCTACATGAGAGGCTGTGGCAGGAGGGATGCAAGTTCAAGGCTGGCCTGGGCTACTTAACCAGACTGGAAAGAAAATGTATTTAAAAAGAAATACCCTTTACAAGAAAACAAAACCAACAAAGGATTGGAAGAACTAATATCACCTAAAGGTTCTGAAAAGCCCTTTAGTGAACTATTCTATATCTAGTTATAGGAAAAAGTCTTAGGCTGGAAAGATGGTTCAGTGGTTAAAAGCACTTGTTGCTCTTACAGAGCACCTATTTAGATCCCAGCACCCATATAATGGCTCACAGCCACCCAGAACTTCCAGAGAATCTAATGCCTTCTTCTATTCTCCAAACACACCAGGCATGCATGTGGTACACTTTTATATATGCTGGCAAAAAATTTACACCTATAAAATAAGTCTTAAAATTTTAAAAGAAAAAAGCCTTTACTTCACAAGTATTGTGCCATTCCAGTAAACACAGTAACTTCTCCATCTCAGCTGAAAATATAAATATTGAGCCAAGCATGGTGGCCCAGGCTTAAACTCCTATCACTGGAGAGGGAGGCTGCGGTACAAACACTGGTATTGAGAGTAGGCAGCACGAAGTCGGTCCTAAGCAGCCAGACTTGGTCTCCAAAACTAGAGAAGAAAAAGCAACAACACAAGTTTCATTCAGGTACTCAAATGACCCTAACTGGAGCATTCCTGCTTTAAAGTAAACACCATAGGTCTCTAGGGACCTATGACACTCCTGCAGAATTGACACTTCAGCCTAGACTTCAAGCCCCAGAACTATGGAACAAACAGTCTCCAAGAACCATAAAACCAAAGCTTAGTCAGCACTCAGGAGGAAGAGGCAGATGGCTCTCTGAGTTCCAGGCCAGCCTGGTACAGAGAGAGTTCCAGGAGAGGAAGGGTTACACAGAGAAACCATGTCTTAAAAACAAAAAGCAAAACCCCAGGAAACTCAGTTGCAGCAATCCTGGTATAAGCAACTGCTTCCTACACTGTTGTAATATTTTATCTACTTTTTTTTTTTTTTTACTAATTTTTTCTCATAGGCAGCATCCAAACAAGCTAAAAGGGTTTGCCTGCATGCTAGCAGAGAAATGGTGCGCTCCTGACCACCACTGAAGACTTCACTGGATAAACACCATTCCAGTGGATCCACATGAGGGAGGCACTAATACTGGCCAAGGAAGGGATATGGAATTGGTATGTGACAGTTAACTTTAAACAAAGTGCAAAGGAGCATCCAGATCTCTCTCTCACACACACACACAGAGAAAGAGAGAGAGAGAGAGAGAGAGAGAGAGAGAGAGAGAGGGGCAAGTGTGAAGCAGAAAGAATATGTTCACATGTATGCATGTGTAATCCATAGAAATGTGACGGATTTGAGACCACCTGGATGTTTCAGAAGTTCCCACACCAGTTACAAGAAGCTGGCAGTAGGAAACTGGTAGAGGGACAGTTACTTTCACTGTCTATCACTTTTGTTTCCTTTGACCTTTGAAATATGAACTTGTAGAATCTGCCCTTTAAATTTTTAAGTTTAGAACTAACCTGACCAAAACTTCCACCTACTTTTCTCAGCACATATGGCAGAGGAGTGGCAAACCAATGATGGCTATAATCAGCTCCAAGTTAGCCTGGGTCCCACCGCTGGAGCAGTAAGAGCTTCAAAGTTTCTCACCTCCTTTCCCAAGCAGGGTCACCTCCTGTTACCTCTCCTTTCCATCTCCCTTTTAAGTCACCAGAGTTGCCCAGGGCAGGGAGCACGCCTCCCCAAACCACCTTACAAACCTTTCCCCCACTTCACTCTTAGGACCCTTACCACCTCCCAGGGCTGTGTCCACACCACCTGCTATCAATCCTTCCCCACACAGCAGTCATTTCCCCTACCTCCAAACCCCACTGGGTTTTATGTGTGTATCTATCATCACCTAGCGTATTTTGCCTTATTTACATATGAGTCATTTGAGGGTTGGGGGAAAGTGCTCTTCACAGCTGTGTCTTCCAGAGTGCTGGAAATAGATCTCTGAAAGGTCTGAACGGAGTGTGCTAATACAAAACCTCCTGTAATACTAAATTGTGTTCTGAAAAGACATTCTGGAGAGCCTAATAAACAAGCTCACTAGTAAGAGTTGCAACTGACAAAGGGCGGCTTCTTGTCTATCTAGCTTGACCTTGGCAGTGTTGCATTTTTGTTTTTATTGGGGGGGGAATAAATAAATTCCTGTGAATGGAGCTCAAGGCCCACCACACAGTCGCTCAATAAAGTTGCCTGTCATGCCATGTTGGGGGGAGAGGGGTTGCTGAAGCAAATGGCTAAACCACAAAGTAAGCACTAGGTGATAAAGGAAGAAAATTCAGTACACACAGAAAAGTCTGGGCAGCCACAGTGCAACCAAAATGAGCATGCCATAACTCCAAAAGGGATGAACGAAAAACTGCATGAAATTCAACTAATAAAGGAGGAGGAGTGAAATGATCAATTTGCATTTGACAAGACTGTAGGAAGGGAAAAAAATTTTTTTCTTAAAAACAATTCTCAGAAAACCCAAAAGGTCTTAGGTAATGTTTCATGAAGTAGTATTAACCTTGGAACTTGAACATGAGTTTTGCAAGAAGAAACTTTTTTTTTTTTTTAACAAAAAGAAAAATCATTAAACTGTTCTATGGATTCAATGGTGTTTCCTTTTAAAATCCTGCTCAGACTTAAAAATGCGCCAAGGACTACGCTACAGCCTTCACTTTTGTCAAAAACATCTGTCACATAATTCTAAGTTGTTTCCCTTTGACTCAAATGCAAAGAGATCTGAAATTAAACAAGATGTGAATTGAATTCTTTCCTCCCTTCTTTGGTCTTCACACAGGAGTAGGGAAATGTGAACCTCACCTTCACTGTCTTCTATTAAGCTATTCATCAAAGGACCAGGAGGCTTAATCTACAGCCCCCTGAGTTCACAAATCTCACTGCTTCCTGATGAAGCACAGTGGGAATAATTATAACAAATGAGTTGCATATATTCTACAAATGCAGAATATTAACCCCTCAGTCATTTACAGCCTACTGTAGGCGACAAACTCGGAGGAAATAAGAATCCCATAGTAAATCCAAGTGACAAATTTTAAATCCTGGAGCAACCTTCCATATTTCTGAGGGTTTATAGAAGAGGCATTCAAGTGCAAGGTGAAAGCAAAATTTTCTCACAGCTGCCCAGCCTGAAATGATGTAATAAACGAAGACAGTACTTGTGCCTTGTAACGTTGCTTATCTCGCACGGGCAGAAAAACTAGAAACCTTGTTTTAAAATGGATCGCTAAACGGAGAAAACGAGTTCCAAGGAGGCGCTGCCACAGGGATCAGAATGTTTTGCTGCCTTTAGTCATCAAAGGGAACAATCACCAACATGGGGTAGAAGAAAAAGGACGCAGCTGGTTTGTTTGCTTGTTAAATAGCGCCCACGGGAGGGTAATCCATTACCAAATAGCAACATTTCAAAGTTGTCCTGTTTAGAGAATAACTGTCCCAACCCGTTCAGATGCTTAAAATGTCCCCCAAACTCTCGGCCCTCTCTTCATCAAGAACGCGCCCACAACATCGCCGAGCTGGACGTGACTTGCCCCGGCTCCTCCCGGCCTCGGGTCGCGCCCCACTGCCCTGGGAGTCCGCGGCCCGACCGCCCTTCCCTTGGCCCTTCTTCCGGGCGGCTCGACCCCTTCCCTCCGCGGCTCGCCCAGCTCGCAGCGCCGCTCGGCCTCCAGCCCCACGCGAGGGGCAGCCGCCCGGCCTCGTCAGCCCGGTCAGGGCCCGGCCACGCCCCCCGCGGATAAAGGGTGACATGGCGGCCCCCGCTCGCCCGCCCGCCCGCCCCCGCGCCCGGCCCGCAGCCTCGCTCACCCACACGAACAGGCTGTCGGACAGCAGGTACTGGGCCACGTCGCGGGCCCGGGGGCCGCCGGCGGCCAAGCGCGACGGCACGAGCGCCTCGGGCTGCAGCGGGGCCGTTAGCGGCTCCTGCTCGCCTGACCCGGCCATCGACTGGCTGAGGGCGCGGTAGGCGCTGACGATGGTGCCCAGCAAGGCCAGGCCGCTGAGGCCCGTGTAGGTGCGGAGGCTGGGCCACGGGAAGCGCTCGAGGAAGAGCAGCGGCATGGCGGCGGCGGCGAGCTCTGACACCCGGGGCTCCCCGCGCTGCGGCCAGGCGCCTGCGGCGGCCTCGCGAACGGCGCCCACGGGCTCTGGCGTCGCTGCCGCCGCCGCCGCTCCGGGCCGCGCCGGGCCACTCCTGACTGCTCGCGCCGCTCCGCCCCGCGCCGCTCCCGCTGCTGCCCCTGCCGGCGCGGAAGAGCCTCGGCGGAATCGGGGCGGGCCGCCGCCCCTAGCGGGACGCGGGCGGGACGGGCGCGGGGGCGCGGCCTTGCTCCCCCGCCCCCAGCGGGCGCGCCGCAGCCCCACGGGCACAGGACCGGGCCTAGGGCCCCGCGTCCCGGCCCCCTGCAGCATCCTTGGCGACCCTGGGCCCACTGACGCCGCGGACGCGCCCCAGCTGGGCTCTCGAGTGAGCCCGGCCCGTGGGCAATGACGGCAGGCCTGTGTGCGTGGCCATGCGGCAGGGTCCGGTACGCAGGCCCCGGCCTCTGGTCCCTTGTTCCTCCCAGGTAAAGCAGGTAAACCCGTCCCACCACCCTGTGGAATAGCAGCTTTCATGGTGTCCTAAAGGAGGACATGATGTTTAGGAAATAATAGAAGCCCTGGCCACTTCTTTAACCAAGTCTTAAGTCTCTGTTTACAAATAAGTGAGTAGACTTTTTTTTTTTTTAACGGAGCCAATTTAACAGGAAATAAAAATATGTTCCCTTTTATGCTACAAGTAGAATGTAAAAATGGTACAGGGAGCTTCTTGGAAAATGCCTGTTCCTCAAAGGTACACCAAAGAGTGACCATTTGATGCGACAGTTACCTGGCTTACACATCTAAGAGAAATGAAAACACACACACACACACACACACACACACAAAACACAACTACACAGAGGTTGACAGTGGCATTATTAGCAGTTACCCAGAGGGGAAAAGCTCCAATGGAATAGTGTTTGAAAATGAAGTACGGATACATGCTACAGTATGAGAACATTGAAGACATGCCTGAGTAAGCCACACACGAGTGTCTAAACACCGTGTGACTCCACTGATAAGGCAAATACATAGAATGTAGAGTGATGACGAGCACGAGAGCTGGAGGCGGCAGCTAAAGACAGGTTGTGGTACATTTCCTGAAGTGATGGTGCTCTAAAGGACATTGAATTACACACTATAAACAATGACCTACATCGCTATATGTGAAGTACATAAAATAACAGGGGGTACACTCTTTTTAGTCATTATATTTCCAAGCCATGCAGTAGTGCCCATTCCAGAATTTATGTTCTGTAAATAGCTGGTGGATTTTTCCAAATTTACTAAAGGGGCTAAATTACCTTAAAGTATTTTTCATGCCAAATAGTCTAAGTCCATAGATTTTGTTTTGCTTTTCAAGACAAGGTTTCTCTATGTAGCCTTGGCTGTCCTAAAACTCACTCTGTACAGCAGGCTGGTGCCTCTGCCTCCCAAGTACTGGAATTAAAGGTGTGCACCCATCTCCCAGCTCTGTACTTCTTCTACTTACAGAAGTAGCAGTTCATAGATTTTATTTTTAATCTGAAAAATTAATAGCCACTTTGTAGTAATTCTGAAAAACACCTTATGAAAAGTCTTCATGTGCTTAAATTCTCTTTGGATCTCTCCCCAGTCATTTGCAAGATGACTCAGCATTGGATAAAGCATTTGCTACAAAATGTGATGACCTGGCTTTGATTCCCACCACTCCCAAGTTATTCTCTGACTTCTGTATCATGTGCACACACAAACACATGCACATAAAATAGTACCAAATGCTGTGGAATATTTGTTTAATGATGCAAAAAATATGTTGCATTATTTTATGTTGCATTTGTTTAACTCTGTAAAGCTGTGTTACTTTGCCTGCCTAAAATACCTGATTAGTCTAATAAAGAACTGAATGACCAATAACTAGGCAGGAGAGAGAACCAGGCAGTGCTTCTAGGCAGAGAGAATAAATAGGGATGAGAGCAAGGAGTGTGGATGCCAGGGGCCAGCCACCCAGCCGCCCAATAAGTAGCAAAGAAAGATATATAGAAAAAGAAAGGTAAAAATCCCGGAGGCAAAACATAATTAAAGAGAAACAGGATATTTTGTTAGAAAAGCTGACTAGGAACAAGCCAAGCTAAGGCCAGGCATTCATAAGAATAAGTCTCCATGTATTTATTTGGGAGCTGGGTGGTACCCTCCCCCAACCAAATAATTAAAACAAAACAAAAAACTCCACTACAACTGAGACTTAACACTATTGTACAAATAATGGAAGAAGAAATGAGGATGGTAATTTTCCAGGGAAATGTTCTCCTTCACAAGGTCAGATCTGAGTCACCATGACTTTTAAATCATACTGATTTGTGATTCACATCCAATCTAAGCCACAAAACAGTAATATTAGATACCAAACTTCTTGTCCTTTCATATTTCTGATAACAGAGCTGCCTTTTTTTTAATCTCCAAAGCTTGAGCTTTCTGAAAAAAAAAAATCAAACATGTATAACAGGTAAATTAATCCAACCCAGATGCATTTTTAAAAAATGAAAAAGATTTTGAATGATTTTTGGGTTTGTGTGTGTGTGTGTGTGTGTGTGTCTTTTTTGGGTTTTTTGTTTGTTTGTTTGTTTTTTACTACAACAGTCATTCTATTCCCTTTCTCCTCCAAAAAATGCTTTACCCCTCATCCTCCTCTCGAGGGCCTATTTGAGACACTTGTTCTCACTCTAGCCCAGTATGGCCTCCAGCTTGAAGTAATTCTCCTGCCAGAATCTCCTAAATGTTAGAGGATTACAGGCATGAGCCAACAAACCCAACAAGCTCCCATCTATCTTGTGTCTGCCTCCTGTTCTCCCTCCCTCCCTGATCCCTTGCACTACTGAACAGTTGTTTGAGTAGGGACTGGATGGTCTTGAACTCGTGAGCTGAAATGATCAGCCTACCTCAACCTCCTAAGGAGCTAAGACTGTGGAGCATGCCACAGTGTGAGTACTTGTCTCAAGATGGGTTTTGTTTTGTATTTTTTTTCTTCTTCAAGAACTAAACAAACCTGCTAAAGTCTTTTGATTTATTATGCGTGTGTGTGCCTTTGTGAATTTATGTGAAACACCTGTGCAGGTGCCTACCAGGTGTCAGACCCTCTGGAACTGCACTCACTGTCAGTTGTGAGCTGCCGTGTGGGCACTGAGAATCAAACCTGGGTCTTCTATTAGAGTAGCCAGTGCTCTGAGCCTGCTGAGCCATCGTTCCAGCACCCCCTCTAAAGTCTTAATCAGAAGCCAAATTAAAGTAGCTCACACTTGTAATCCTGTAGATGAAGAAACAGCTGCTAAAGATATGAACAATATGTGGTTAACACAACTGTGTTGCAACTTTAAGTATCCCAGTCTTGATGCTCTAAAAGTGACTCCATCAGCTGCAGGCAACTGAATCTAAGGACATGCTAAGGGACAAGAATAGGGAAAGGAAGCATCCATAGTCCAGGCCACCAATCAGGTCTTTGCCACTATGCCAAAATGGCCCCTTACTCCATGGACCTGACCACAGACAAGGAAACAGAATTGTGCAGGATCACTCCTGGTACATTGAGTTTAGCAACCCTCCACCACACAGAGGACTATCCCAAACAATTAGTTGTTCCATGTTAAATGCTTTTATTGAAATAAAATTTTAAAAAAGAACAATGACTATTTTAGTCAATCTCTTGCTTTATAAGTATAAAAATATAACCAAAACTCCATTTCCTTTATACATTCCTATAAACAAACCAAGAAAGTGTTCAAAGCCACAACCATAAATGGTACTTATATAATCTATATGAACAGCTTTTCTGTTTCAGGGGGAAACATGGATTAAACACAAGAGCTTTCTAGGCAAGCACTCAACCACTGAACAATATCCCTAAGTTCAAGTTTTTTTTTTCTTTAACACATTGCTCTTTCAACAGAACAGTATAATTTATGCATTCTCCAATTTAGCTCTAGCCTTAATTTCTCACTAAAATACAAAATATATTTAACTGGCTTAATCTTGATATGTCTGGGGTTTTGTTCTGGTTGTTAATTATTTTCTTAAAATAGGATATATATGTGGGTAAATATTAAGGTGAATTTAATGGCTCAAGCTGAATTAGAGGTTATATTTACACAGAGGCAAACCTGAGTGAGGTCAGTTTAACCCAAGTAAGTGATAGCAAACACGCAGATGTGTTGTAAAATAAAATCTAAGCTACAGAAGCTAAGTTCTTTAACAGTGTAACACAAAAAACTGAAAAATTCTTTGCATCAATCAGCAATCCACATACTGTTCCAAACACTAAATTAGTAAAAACCTTTGAGTTTGGGGAACTTAAATATGGAGGAGAGGCTACTCAAGTATTTCACCAACTCACTAAGCAGGTACTTTCAAAATGAAGTACTAAATGTCATAACTCCCTTGTACAATGAGGAGTGCTCCAACACAAGAGGGACTCTAGCAGACCTTTAGAAGAAACAGAAGGGAGGGCTGGAGATGGCTCAGTGGTTAAGAGTACTGGCTGCTCTTCCCAGAGGACAATTAGATTGCCAGCACCCACATGACAGCTCACAACAATGTCTAACTCCAGTCCCAGGAGATCTCATACCCTCTTCTGACCTCTGAAGACACTATACGCATATGGCGCATAGATACAAACACAGGCATCATACCCATACACTTTAAAAAGAGAATACAAATTAATGTACAGAATCTGTGCCATTTAAGTGTTGCCTCAAATTTTGTCTGAGTTTTTCAGTTTTCTGTTTCTCTGTAGCCTTGGAGGCTGCTCTGGAACTCAGTAGACCCGGCTGGCCTTGAACTCGAAGATGTTGCCTACTCTTAAATTGTGTGTTTGTGTGTCTATCACAATGATCTATTGGGAATTTTTTTTTTTCCAATTCTCCAAAAGGGTAGATCAATCCTAAATAGGATTTTAAGCAATTGAGTTAAACTTTTTCACCTTCTCCCTTTACTCATTTAAACATGTTCTAGGGTCACTACATTTTGTATATAGTATGTACTACTAGCATTAGTGAGAAAATCTATGCAAGAGTGCTTTCATTTGTAAATTATTTTTTTTTTAAAAAAAAAGTAGGTTGGTCAAATTCTAATAATCTCCAAAATTTAGTGTGTGTGTCTGTGTAATGACACTCTAAGACTTATATCCTGAGGGTGATCTTAACACTTGTGTTTTTTTGAATACTTGAAAGAACACATGAAATTTGAACCTGGTTAGTCTCTGTTCATCAGGAAACAAGGGTATTTGGGATACAACTATAATTGACCAAAGGCTTTAAAACTTTGTGTTTATGTGAAGGGAATTTTCAGTTTAAAGTCCACTCTCTTACACCCCA